AAGATATAAAAAGTATACCATTCCATACATCACGCTCGTTCATCGTTCATACATGGATATCCGCGCTTTTGTGTTACTTTGACAAACGTTCTAATTGCGTGTGCTCGCTTATGGGATTGGAGAAGGCGGCACTTTTTCTGGCAAGCTTTGTGGCAAGAGAAAACTATGCTTACGTGCGCATATCATCTCACTCTCTTTACACAACCTCCCGGTTTTACTGGGATAAAATTTCTTCTTTACAAGCATAAAAGATTTTTGCGGCCAGAATTCCGAGGATATAGCACAGCGCGTACGTTAGCTTCCGCAGAAGCTGGGTGTGTAGGTATACGCGAGACTCTATACGCGATAAATACGGGTCCACGTGTCCTTCGTAACGAATATGTGCACATAATCATACATCGCCTTGCACTATCAATGATTCCGTTTCATTGGCAACGTCTGCGTAATATACAGCAATGCTGGTTCGACACAATCAAGGCCATCTGACCGATCACATTAGAGAACGCGTAAAGATTGTTTGAAGGTAACAATTGCGATAAGAGAAACAGAGAGATAGCGAAAGAGAGAGAGAAAGAAAATGTGAACCTAAGTTAGAGATGGAGAAGCACAGCGAACGAAAGATGACGTGAGAAAGGAGGAGATGAGCATGAGACGCACACCGAAATTGAATCAGAGAAATTAAGAGCGAGAACTACTAAAGAAAATGAGAGCGAGAACTACTAAAAAAAATGAGAGCGAGACAAACAGAGCGAGAGAGAGCGAGAAAGAGAGAATTTGAAATTGACAACGCAAGAGCGAGAGCCAGTCTGACAAGAAGAGAGGGACAGACGATCAGTGAGGGCTTAGTACACGGTCGTCCGGAATGCGAGAAAGATGCAAAAAAAGAGAAAACGAAATGGCTTAGTGTCCATGAACGTGCTCGATCCAGGTACTTAATCTCGGATCACTGCACATGCGTTGATAGCACCGCGTTAGACAAGCACGCACACAATTTGGCCTCGACGGCAGCTCCCCAATCGAATCAAATTCCACCAAAGTAGCAATCGATACAGAGCGTCTGTTGAAGTAAACTGCGTACTCGTGGATGTTCGCTTTATTTTTCGGTTGATTTTTTTTCTGATATATTTCAGAAATTTATTGACACTCACAAATTAATAATTGGGTAATAATCCATTCAATGGTTACCTAATGATAACATCGCTTTGCATAATGATATATATTTTTCAGTTAGTTAAGATATTGAAGGGTGGCTGAGTAAGTGATTCGTTTTGGTCGAACATGTTTAACGATGTACAGCGCGTGTGCTTAGTATAACCCTGTTAGATAACGCGTTAACCGCACTCTTGGTGAACGTGGTTACTTGCATTGTTTGCTTCGTGTATTTATGTGGCTTATATTTACTCGTGCTCTCCTGACATTTGCAGTTTGTACCAATCTTCTGATCATGTTGCAAGGCAATAAAATCACGGAAGCAAGCAACTCAATAGGACAATGTATGCTTGGGCAGCCATTGGTTTGATGCTAACATTAAACGTCACTAAAATGACAGGTTGTATAATGCATGTAGTCAATGAATCTATACTAACACTGCCCTCGTATGTGTCAATTACTATTATATGTAATTTCAGAGGATAAATCTACGTGAGAGATCATTACGTCATAATCAGCTGGACGCCTCTTAATCGCATCTATGATGCACCTATCTATGGCGCTGTCATTCGCTATTACTGTATGCACGCTATTATTCGCATTACATGCTACACATTGCGCGGAAGCTGTGCCGATTGATCGATGAATACAATTATATGGAGTGTCGAGAGTAGCGAGGGAACTTGTTTTTACATGACTGAAGATTCTAGTGGTGGCGGCGGAGGTGGTGATGACGATTCTAGTGGTGGCTGCGGAGGTGGTGATGGCGGTTCTTGCTGACAGACTGTTGGCAGACATATAATTAAAAATACATAAATACATACATACATACTTGCGTGCGTCCGTGGTGCGTGCGTACACGCGTACATGCGTACATACGTTCATATATGATACATACATGCATGCATGCATTCCATACATACATACATACATACCATACAATATACACTACTAGAGTACTACGTAGTACGTACGTCGGAGACACGTCGCACGCGACCAGCGCACGCACACGCACGACGCACTGACGAGCACGCCACGCGACGACGCAACGCACGCACACGCAACGCACGCACGCACGCATCGCACCGCACGCCGCACGCACGCACGGACGCTCACACCAGGGGGTCACACCACACACATACATCATACATCCATGCACACATATAATAACAGGAAACCAGTAATTCACTTGGTAATAGCAAGGCAAATCGCGTAAGAACCAAAAGCGTCCGACCACATTCAAACAGTTTCATTCACACCCTTAGATTTATTATTGCTAATTAACCACACATTAATTTTCAACACGGCGACCGCATACAACTATATCAAGGCTAATACTCAATCAGACAACATCCCCAAGGCAATACTGATATATCAACCTTTCATCTTCGCTACGTAATACCGGCAGTACCTATTGTATTGTTCAAGGAGAAATACTTATGAAGTGATATTAGCACGGTGTGAATTTGTTAACGCGTATATTAGCACGCTGTGGTATTGTGATAGACGTCTATTCAGTTACAATATTTTGTCATTGTATGGTATTTTCAGACCGGGGTCGTCGGGTAATAAATATCGTCAGGGTGTGATATTGCCTGGGGTTGTGATATTTTTGTGGGTATATTATTGCCTGATTTATATCTTCAGTAAATCTCAGGTATTGTCTCAATTGACATACCGGCAGCAGTTATTATTTTCTCGGTGACATACTCAAGCACATTCAAGTGCAGGCGCCTTGTTTGGTCTACTGAATGTCATTCTCTCAGACATTATTAGTCGCGCGCGTCTTCGCCCGCAGCAGCGTGGTTGCGGCCTATCAGATATCATCGGTACTACTGACGCCTGCTCAGTACGGACAGAAAATTTACGAAAATCAGCGAACGCGGAAATGATAAAAAATATATGCTATGCCGGGAGTTTACGAAACGAATTAAACAATAACATGCGTTGCGTCTAATGCCAATCGCCCAGGCTTAGTTTGTAAGTGCTAGTGCCGCTCATCAAACGATGGAACGCACAGCGCGGTTTGTGTACATATAACTACCGCGACGCGTACAATAACTACTATACATATACCGCACGCGTCCTGTTTTGTCCTCGTGAATCTCTACGCGATCTCTGCATCTTGGTCGGTTGCTGTTGCCTACTTGGGCGGATGACCGACCTTGCTCAGCGCTGATGGCGCGTGTGCAGTCACGTTGGGGGCGGCTTTGCAGTCGGTAGAGACTCTGCGTCTGCGAGTCACGTAGGTGATGGCCTCGTTGTTCTTTGAGTGACCTACTGTCTGCGTCCGAGAATCGTGTTGTCTGTGCATCTGGAGATGCATTTCCAAGGCAGAGGAGCTCGAGCATGCAGGCCTTCTGCAGGGCCGATATAAGATAAAGCAAGCGCTGATTTCCTTGCTGTCAGTATAATTACTAACAGGAAGCTTTATCTTGTTAACATTGTCTGTCTGTGTGTGTCTGCGCTCATATATTACCACACTTCTCTCGCGTTTCTGTAAGTGTTTCTTACTCACTCTCTTGCGCTCTCATTCCAATTTAATTTTTTGCTCTTACTCACAAACTTTCTCTCTCTCCTACCGCCTCTCACCACTGTATATCTCTATCTAAACGTGTCTATATGCCTGTTGAATATTAGATTCATATATGGATAAATTATTTCATTTACATATAAATATATATATAATATAAATTAAGCTATATATATATATATTATATATATATATATATATATATTATAAGAGAGGCGAGTGAGAGAGAGGGAGGAATGAAGCGTCGTATATCATGTAAAACGCTCAAATTTAATCAATCACTAACCATTAATGAAATCTCTCCAGGCCGTCGGGCAGACGAATATCCTACGCTTTAATTATTCTCTCATTTTATTTACATGTTTAGATGTCAATTTAAATGTCGATTAAATTCGGGAAAGTATACTTCATGAGCGCAAGGAGAGAGAGAGAGAGAGAGAGGGGGGGAGAGAAAGAGAGAGAGGGAGAGCGAGAGAGGGGGAGAGTGAGGGAGTGAGAGAGGGCAAAGTAGTTCTAACCGTGGATTACTACGCTAGCCGCTTCGAGGAGTGATTGGAAATAAACCAAAATTCTTATATGATTGGATCAATCAAGTAATTCCGTGACGACTACCCGCTGCGCAGTGTGAAAGCCAATAAATATATGTATAATTAAAAAGAGTTCACGCGGAACATGCGTAGAGTATCGCTTGGAGAGGGAGACTCCAAGATTAAAAAAGTAAACTCTAGCTATCTATGGGTCTTCTCATTACGTAGCGCGATCGCCATTTTATTGCCATTGAATTGGCTTTTGCAAAGTTATCATAGAACGTAATCATAACCTAGAGTGTGGTCCTGTGGACCGGTACGTCTATTGTCAACTAATTATTTGGTTCTTTATAAAGGAAAGTACGTCATGTCCACGGAAAGTTGTTTTGTTAAACTCCAGCCATTCGGCACGATATATTCTAAACTTCATAGAAATTCGAATTTGCTTGCTTGTCGAATTATTCACGGAAACTTTATATTATATAGACACGTGCAACGTGTACGTATTAGGCATGTACAAGACGCGTGCTATGGTGAACTGGCCGTATTTAACGATATTTGTAGGTCTTTTACTGATGTCTGAACCTTTTCGATCGCTATATCCATGGTGGTATATGGATAGCCGATATATATTCTTGCATATCAAACAGCGCGCAGCTAGGGTGGCATATGAATTGCAGCGTACGTATGATATAATATCAATGTAATAGGAACGAACCAATGTTTGGATTTCAATCAACATGAGTCAATGGCGGCGGAAACCATGTGCCCACACATGCACCAACACTTACCTATCGTCGTGACAAGTGTGACACAGTATAGCAGCGAACCGATGAACTCCCACTGCGGCTGCGCCCGCGTTTCACTACCGTCGAAGCCGTCGCTGGTCATATATTGCGTCAGATTCTGCTCGAAGCCCTCCAGGAAGAAACTGACGATGTCCACCCAGTCATTTGAGTGCCGGCCGGACAGGCGCAGCCGCTGGACAATGGCCGACGAGTAGATTCGCCGCGTGTGCGACATGGCCTTCTTGCGCTCTAGCTCGTTGTCGAGCTCCAGCGCTGAGAACATGAAAGCACCAATAACGCAATAGCCCACGACAAGGCCCACGAGGCCGACGTTCGAAAACAGATAAGCGATAAACTTGATTGTCGCCGAGCGACATTGCTGGCACCTAGACGCGCGCACCGAGCTAGCGCCGCTGTCTGGTCGTTGCTCTTCAACGTCATCATCGTCGGCGGTGGATTTTTCCATCGGCCAGTTGGATCTGCGTGAGCGTCAACGGCAGCGTCAGTGTCACCGTCGTCGCCACCGTCTGCTCGCGAACTTCAGCACCGCTGTACTGCGGTTGGCAACGGTTAACCTGTCTGGTAACAGTGTCGCGATCCACGCGAGATCGTCTAATGACAGTGTCAGGTGTAGCTGAGGTGGGTTGCGCGCGTGTTACTTGATTGTCACTGTTCCGTGTTATCATATGCCGTCCCTTTATGTGCACCACGATGACAGGCAGCAGATAGACGATGTGCGACGTCAACTCGTTGCGGCAAGGCCAGTGTAACGATCAATCGTAGCGCGCACTATTATAGTATAGCAAAGATCATCGTTTTTCTGATCCAATCACAATGATAGACAGGTCACCATGATAGAACGCTCACCACAATAAAGAGTCAATGCGATTTACTAGTCCCCATAATGTCACTCGATCAATCAGCACTATGTGACAATCAGCACTATGTGACCGTTAGCACTATGTGACAATCAGCACTATGTGACAATCAGCACTATGTGACCGCACTTTTCTGGGCAAGCTTTTGTGCCAGAGAAGAAACTATGCTTAACGTGCGCACTTTCATCTGCACTCTCTTTACACAACCTCCGGTTTTACTGGGTAAAATTTCTTCTTACAAGCATAAAGATTTTTGCGGCCAGAATTCCGAGGTAATAGCACAGCGCGTACGTTAGCTTCCGCAGAAGCTGGGTGTGTAGGTATACGCGAGACTCTATATACGCGATAAAATACGGGTCACGTGTCCTTCGTAACGAATATGTGCACATAATCATACATCGCTTGCACTATCAATGATTCCGTTTCATTGGCAAACGTCTGCGTAATATACAGCAATGCTGGTCGACACAATCAAGGCATCTGACCGATCACATTAGAGAACGCGTAAAGATTGTTTGAAGGTAACAATTGCGATAAGAGAAACAGGAGATAGCGAAAGAGAGAGAAAAGAAAATGTGAACCTAAGTTAGAGATGGGGAAGCACAGCGAACGAAAGATGACGTGAGCAAGGAGGAGATGAGCATGAGACGCACACGCGAATTGAATCAGAGAAATTAAGGAGCGAGAACTACTAAAGAAAATGAGAGAGCGAGAACTACTAAAAAAAAATGAGAGCGAGACAAAACAGAGCGAGAGAGAGCGAGAAAGAGAGAATTTGAAATTGACAACGCAAGAGCGAGAGCCAGTCTGACAAGAAGAGAGGGACAGACGCGGCTTGATCAGAACGAGGGCTTAGTACACGGTCGTCCGGAATGCGAGAAAGATGCAAAAAAAGAGAAAACGAAATGGCTTAGTGTCCATGAAACGTGCTCGATCCAGGTACTTAATCTCGATCACTGCACATGCGTTGATAGCACCGCGTTAGACAAGCACGCACACAATGTGGCCTCGACGCAGCTCCCAATGGAATCAAATTCCACCAAGTAGCAATCGATACAGAGCGTCTGTGTGAAGTAAACTGGCGTACTCGGTGATGTTCGCTTTATTTTTGGTTGATTTTTTTTCTGATATATTTCAGAAATTTATTGACACTCACAATTAATAATTGGGTAATAATCCATTCAATGGTTACCTAATGATAACATCGCTTTGCATAATGATATATATTTTTCAGTTAGTTGAAGATATTGAAGGGTGGCTGAGTAAGTGATTCGTTTTGGTCGAACATGTTTAACGATGTTACAGCGCGTGTTGCTTAGTATAACCTGTTAGATAACGCGTTAACCGCACTCTTGGTGAATCGTGGTTACTTGCATTGTTTGCTTCGTGTATTTATGTGGCTTATATTTACTCGTGCTCTCCTGACATTTGCAGTTTGTACCAATCTTCTGTATGTGCCAGGCAATAAAATCTACGGAGCAAGCAACTCAATAGGACAATGTATGCTTGGGCAGCCATTGGTTTGATGCTAAACATAAACGTCACTAAAGACAGGTTGTATAATGCATGTAGTCAATGAATCTTACTAACACTGCCCTCGTATGTGTCAATTACTATTATATGTAATTTCAGAGGATAAATCTACGTGAGAGATCATTACGTCATAAATCAGCTGGACGCTTCCTTAATCGCATCTATGATGCACCTATCTTGGCGCTGTCATTCGCTATTACTGTATGCACGCTATTATTCGCATTACATGCTACACATTGCGCGGAAGCTTGGTGCCGATTGATCGATGAATACAATTATATGGAGTGTCGAGAGTAGCGAGGAACTGTTTTTACATGACTGAAGATTCTAGTGGTGGCGGCGGAGGTGGTGATGACGATTCTAGTGGTGGCTGCGGAGGTGGTGATGGCGGTTCTTGCTGACAGACTGTTGGCAGACATATAATTAAAAATACATAAATACATACATACATACTTGCGTGCGTCCGTGGTGCGTGCGTACACGCGTACATGCGTACATACGTTCATATATACATACATACATACATACATACATACATACATACATACATACATACATACATACATACATACATACATACATACATACATACATACATACATACGTACGTACGTACGTACGTACATACATACATACATACATACATACATACATACATACATACATACATACATACATACATACATACATACATACGTACATACGTACATACGTGCATACGCAGACCTGCCAACCCTTACGATTTTTTCGTATTCCTTACGAATTCCATGATGTTTCTACGAATATAGGATCAAACTGAAAAACTTACGATTTTTTACGACTTGTGAAAATTAATGTTTTTTACATTGTGAGCCAAGAAATATCTGGCGATTGTGGGCGCAGCCATATTGGATCACACGTTCACGTTGTTCTCGCGTGATCTAGAGTTAGTCCCATCATTCATTGCGCGCATAACATACAAACAAAATGGCCGCCTCCTGCAAGAAAAGAAAATTCTTACTATTTTCATGAATCACAGGTTGGCAGGTCTGCATACGTACATACGTACATACGTACATACGTACATACGTACATACATACATACATACATACATACATACATACATACATACATACATACATACATACATACATACGTACATACGTACATACGTACATACGTACATACGTACATACGTTCATACTTACATACGTACATACATACATACGTACATACGTTCATACATACATACATACATACATACATACATACATACATACATACATACATACATACATACATACATACATACATACATACATACATACATACATACATACGTACATACGTACGTACGTACGTACGTACGTACGTACGTACGTACGTTTATACATACATACATACATACATACATACATACATACATACATACGATACATACAATACATACGATCGTACATACGTACATACGTACATACGTACATACGTTCATACATACATACATACATACATACATACATACATACATACATACATACATACATACATACATGCATGCAGCATGCACGCACGCACGCACGGCACGCACGCACGCACACACACACACACACACATACATACATACACACGCATGCATTCATGCACGCACGCACGCACGCACACAATCACACACACCACATACATACATACAATCATACATACATACATACATACATACATACATACATACATAGCATACATACATACATACATACATACATACATGCATGCATGCATGCATACATACATACATACATACATGCATGCATGCATGCATGCATGCATACATGCATACTACATACTATCATACCATACATACATACATGCATGCATGCCTGCATGCATGCATGCATACATGCATGCATGCATGCATGCATACATACTACATACATACAACATACATACATACATACATTACATACATACATACATACATACAATACATACATACATACATACATACATACAATACATACATACATACATACATACATACATACTACTACATACATACATACATACATACACAGGCATGCATTCATGCACGCACGCACGCACGCGCGCGCGCGCACCACACACACACACCACACACACACACAACCACACCATTACATACATACATACATGTACATACATACATACATACATACATACATACAATAGCTACATACATAACTACATACATACAATACATACATACATACATACATACATACATTACATACATACATACATACAGTACATCACATACATATACATACTATACATACATAGCTACATACATACATACCATACATACATACATACATACATACATAACATTACATACATACATACATACACTACATACATTACATAATCATACATACATACATACACTACATACACGTACATACATGCATACATACACTACATACTTTATAGTTACTACATACATGCATACATACACTACATACTTTATACACTATACATACATACATACATACATACATACATACATACATACATACAATACATACATACATACACTAGCATACATACATACATACATACATACATACATTCCATACATACAGTACATACAATACATCATACATACATACATACATACATACAGACATACATACAGTACATACATACATACATACATACATACATACATACATACATACGATACATACATCACATACTAACATACATACATACATACATACATACAGTACATACATACATACATACATCCATACATACATACATACATACCATACATACATACATACATACATACATACATACATACCATACATACATACATACATACATACATACATACATACATACATACATACATACATACATACATACATACATCATAACATACATACAACATACATACATACATACATACATACATACATAACATACATACATACATGACATACATACATACATATCATACATACATACATACATACATACATACATACATACATACATACATACATACATACATACATACATACATACTACATACAT